AATGATATAGCTATCAACATATTTCTTCACATAACAACAGTGATCTTCTTCACATCTCGCGAAATCCCGAGTTTCTCATAAACTCATTAAACTTCTTGTACCATTGTCTCGGCGCTTGTTTTAATCCGTACAAACTTTTATGAAGCTTGCATACAAGATTTTCTCCGCCTTGTACTTCAAAACCTTTTGGTTGTGTCATAAAAATTTCCTCTTCAAGATCCCCATGTAAGAATGCAGCTTTGACATCTAACCGCTCCAAATGAAGATTTTCTCGCAGCTACTATACTCAAGATAACTCGATGGTAGTCATCTTGACAACAGGAGAGAAAATTTCGTGAAGTCAATTCCTTGTCTTTGTTGGAACCCTTTCACTACGAGTCTAGCCTTATATCTTTTGCCGCCATCCGGTTCTTCTTTCAACCTATAGACCCACCTGTTTTGCAAAACTTTCTTTCCTTCCGGTAGCTTGGTTAAAGACCATGTTTTATTCTTCTGAAGGGACTTTATCTCATCTTCCATTGCTAGCTCCCACTTAATAGATTCATCTCCTCGCATAGCCTCAAGCAAAATGCTCTAGCTCACCAAGATCGAGTCAACAACAAATAATGCAATGAAGGGGAATATCTTTGTGGTGCTACAATTGTTCTGCTAGATCTTCTAACCAAGATTTCAGGAGTTGCTGACTCTACTATTTGTTCGAGTTCTGTCTCGTGCTCGACATAGGCTCTACTTGTATATTCCGCCTTCGGTTGACTACATCACTTTCTCGAAATTTCTTCTAATGATACTTGCTCTAGTCTGTTTATTTACATTTGCAGATTCTCGCAATCTCGTCTCTATAGAACATGTTTTCATTAAAAGTAACATTTCTACTTCGATAATTTTCTTGTTTTGGTCATCCCAAAACCCGTAGCCAAACATGTCGGATCCATAACCAATGAAATAACAACATTTTGCCTTAGGGTCCAATTTATCTCTACTATTAGAGTCTAACATAACATATGAAGCACAACCAAAAACTTTCGGATGTGAAAGATTTACCTCTTTTCCGGACCATACTTCTTCGTGTAACTTATAGTCTAAAGGAACCGATGGTCCTCTCGTTTATGAGATAGGTCGCTGTGTTTATTGCATCCGCCCAAAATACCTTGGGTAATCCCGATCGGATTCTCATACATCTTGCTCTCTCATTCAAGGTTCTCGTTCATTCTTTCCGCCACACCGTTTTGTTCCGGTGTTCCTGGAACTCGTCTTGATCATTCCGATCCCATTCTCTCGAACAAAACTCCTTGAATTGACTACTCGTCATATTCTCCACCATTATCGGACTTCAAACATTTGACCTTTAAACCTGTTTGAGTCTCAACCTCCTTTTTCCACCTTTTAAACACAGAAAACACATCGATTTATTTTTAAGAAAATAAACCCATACCTTTCTTGTAGAGTCATCAATGAAGGTTACATAATATTGTGAACCTCCAAGGGATTTCACCGAAGCCGGCCCCCAAACATCTCGTATGCACTAGTTCTAGTCTTTCAACTTTAGACGACTTACTTGTTTTTGAGAAGCTAACCTTTTTCTCGCTTTCCAAAGATACAATGTTCGCAAGGTCCAACGTCAACATGCTTCACGTTAGGTATTTTACCTTTTGATATCATGAGCTTCATTCCTTTCTCACTCATATGCCCAAGCCTCCGATGCCATAAGGAGGAATTGTTGCCAACTTCTGCAATCGATATCATATCCTCATCTACAATCATGTAGAGAGATCCTTGCTTCTTTCCACGAGCAACAACAAGATTACCTTTCATTACCTTCCAATGTCCATCTCCAAAAGTGGTGTAATGTCCCTCATCATCCAACTCGCCCTATAGATATTAAGTTTCTCTTTAAGGTTGGAATATGTCCGACATTATTCAAAGTCCACACGTTTCCATTAGAGGTTCCGATGTTAATATCACCTCTTCCTATGATATCAAGAGATTTTCCATCTCGCAAGGTAGACCTTCCCAAACTTTCCGAAACATAGTTAGATAATAGTTCTAAGGAAGGTGTAGTATGAAATGACGCACTCGAGTCCATAATCCATGAGTCAATAGAATTATCTAAACTACATAACAGATGCATCTTCAACTTCATCGATTCTGTCGTATTTGCCGATTGATCATCATCTTGCTTCTTGTTGTTATTGTTGTCCTTCTTTGGAGCCCTACACCGATTTGAAAAGTGGCCCTTTTTCTCGACAATTCCAACAAGTGATATCATTCCGGACTTTTGCTTGTGATCTCCCTCTCGGATTTTGATCTCGCCTCGCCTTGATTACGACCTTTCGGCGACTTCTTCCTCTAGTTTCAGCACTCAATGCTCGAACTCGAATTAGAACTCGAAAGATTCTATCGAATTTTTTCTGCGAACATCTTCACTTAAGATCAAGTCACGGATGTTATCAAGCTTCAACTTGTTATTGCTTGCGTAATTACTTATCGCAGAATAGCTTGCACCCCAACTTTCCGGTAGAGATGATAATAAAATTAATGCTTTCACCTCATCATCAAATATTATCTCGCACCGATGTCAATCGCGCAATAATTGCATTAAATTCACTAATATGATTAGTAACCGAGTTACCTTCACCCATTTTGAGGTTGACTAGCCCGCGAATCAAATGCACTTTATTGGTCAGCAGAGGGCTTCTCATACATATTTGACAACGCTCGCATCAAATCTACGGTTGTCTTTTCGTTCATGATGTTGAACGCAACATTCTTGGCTAATGTCGACCGGATCACACCAAGCGTCTGCCGATCTAACAACTCCCATTCTGATCGCTCCATGTCGGTTGGCTTCGCCTCGTCAAGGGTAGATACAACTTCTTCTCGATACGGATAATCTTCCATCTCGCATCTTCCGTAACCCGAAGTCACCGCCATCGAACTTCTCGATCCTCACCTTTCCTTCTTCCAATGCCATTGCTTCTCACCGCTTTCAAGAAAGCTCCCACCGCTTCTCTAAACCGAGATTCCCAAGAAAAAGACCAAATCTTTTCCGATGTGGAAGATCGGACAAAGCCGCAACCACAGAGCATACTAAGAAAATTGGCTCTTGATACCAATTGTTAGGAACAAGACAATAATAAAAGAAAGAATGAAGGAGAGAAAAATAAACGACACAAGAATTTTAACGTGGTTCGGCTAAAATATGTATGCCTACGTCCACGACTACACTAGGAAGTAATTTTTATTTCTGTGTGTATCTCAAAATTTACATAGGGTTGCTTATATAACAAAATAGAGAACCTCATCTCACAATCCTAATCGATGTGGGACTAAATCAAGCACCATAATACTAACAAAAGCTTCAACGCAGTTAGCCACATAATGCAACTTGGGTCACCACATAATTCAATCAGTTCTCGTTCGAGCGAAATTATCCATCACTTGAGCGAGAATTGACCACAGACTAAAGTTTCAATGCAGTTAGCCATACAATACAACTTGGGTCACCACATATTTCAATCAGTTCTCGTTCGAGCGAAATTACCCATCGCTTGAGCGAAAAAACATCCGAGATTACCCAACAGGAGTTTCGAGTCTCATTGCTCAAGCGATGAATTTCTCGCTTGGACGAGAGAGAAATAATCGGTCATAATTTTAAATATTCGATTATTTAAAAATTATGATCGATTAATTTTAAATTATAATCGATTATAAATTTTCTAGCTCAACCGATTGGTTCCTCGCTTAAGTGAGAATTGCCCACATGTGTTTAAGTTAGCCAATCACTTCTCGCTCAAACAAAATTACCCATTGCTTGAGCGAGAATTGACTACGTGACTAAAGGTCCGACGTAATTAGCTACATAATGCAACTTGAGTCATCACATATTTCAATAAGTATTCGCTCGAGCGAAATTACCAATCGCTTGAGCGAAAAAGCACCCGATATTACCCATTAGTTTCAACTCTTCTCGCTCAAACGAATGATGTCTCGCTTGAGCGAGAGCACTTTTCGCTCGAGCGAGAATTTTGTCGCTCGAGTAAATTTAAACTCCACAAAATCCTTAAGTGCTAGGTACTCTTGCTCAAACGATTCATTTCTCGCTTGAACGAGAGTAACGTAAATAGTAAATAGTACTATTTGATAAATAATATTACATATGTACTATTTTAGAAAATATTTTTTAAAATAATATTATTTATGAAAAAAAAGTCAACTTTAAGTGAGATGAGAAGTGTTTTTCTCCTCCTGTTACGCATTTTCAATGCGCCATATTACATTTCAATTTCAATCGAATTGCATAAAATGTGTGAACGTGTTGTAATATTTTATCATGTGTTTAATTTTATAATGTGTCCCATTTTCATCTATCCCACCTAAAAAAACTTATATAAATTGATTTATTATAATTAAGTTGAAATAAAGATCTTAATCACCTCGTTAAAATATGGGTTGACAGAAGTCCATTGTAAAATTTATAATATATATATTTAAAAATACATTATTAATTGTATTAATATTTTTAAATCTTATTTATTAATTAATGTTTTTATTAAATAAATTGAATAAAATATTATATTTGTATTAAAATATTTAATTATAATTAATAATTTTAAATTAATTAATACATATTTATTATTTAAATTACAATATTAAAATATTTTATATATTTTAATGATATAATAAAAAAATAAATATTTTTAATTATAATTATTTTAATTTTAATATATAAATATTATTTAAAAATAGATTAAAACAAATTTACAAACTAGAACTAAATCTTAAATCCTTAAATTACAAACCAAAGGGCTGACTCTAATCGACTACGAGCCAAAGTCCAATTTGGGCGGGTGGACCATCTCGGCCGATTGTCCTTTTCCATGTTGTCCTCCTAATGAATACTCTCGTTCACATGGTCGGCGTGGTTTTTGCAGGAAAATGGTGATGCCGCCAAACATTTAACAAATTCACACAACACAGACACAATCCTCGGACCCTCTTCCATGGCTACTGTTGCTTCTCTTTGCACGGTCTTTCCCATACTCACATCAACCTTTTCGACGCGCCGTTTCGTTCCCCTCTCTTCCCGAACCCCAAAACGAAGTCGTATCATCACCTCTGTCGCTGAGGACCGAGAAATAGTTCCCGTGTCTGAAGACAAAGGAACCCGTTTCCATGATGTTGAGGGGTTTCTACCTTCCGAATCCAGCACAGAGGCAGAGGTTGGTCCTCGTCTCACCAACAGTGGTACCATCAATGCCGTCATCGTTTTGGGGTTTGGGACTTTTGCTGTCACCAAGTTGCTCACCATTGACCATGATTACTGGCACGTCAGTATCCTCATTTTCGATATTAAATTTGTCTATTCTTTGTTATTATTATTACTCAATCGTTGTTTTTGACATACCCGTTAAGCTGAAAGATCATCAAGTTAAGCTCTTTTTTCTTTTTCTTTTTAATTATTAATATGACTATGAATCTGGATAGCTGAAGCATTGTTCCAAGTTATACAGTCTGTTCTTGTTGATCACTCAAGTTGATCGCTAATATTAATAGCAGAGTTTAAATTTGGGTTTAATCCAACTCCAAAAACTTGTTCATGAGATAGATTTTGACTCCGTTATGTAGGTCATATCACTAGTTAATAGTTTCCAACACCTCCCCTTACTGTGAGGGCACGGACATCTCGAATCTAAAGCTTGTAGAGTTGGACATATACGAGTGGTCTAATAACATGAAGTCTGATAGGCTTAGCGAATATCAACATCCATTAGGATAAACTTTAATATTATATTAGACTTTGTAGTATTCAACTCCAAAAGGTAGCCCATGAGATAAAGGTTGCCTCCCACATCTTGTGTACATTGTTTTGGCTGTATGCCTATATTTTTAGTCAATGTTGGATCTTTGGTAAAGAAACAAGAGGAACATGTTTAATACTAGAGTTAAGAAAGAGAACTGAAGTGTATTTTGGTGTTTTATTATTCAGGGTTGGACTCTTTACGAGATTCTGAGGTATATACCTGAGCACAATTGGATTGCCTACGAGCAAGCACTGAAAGCAAATCCGGTTTTGGCTAAAATGGCAATAAGTGGGATTGTATACTCAATTGGGGATTGGATTGCTCAGGTTTGTTTTTGACTATCAAAATATGAAATGTTAATCTTGGGCCTAGAGTTTTACGACACTTCGGCCATTTCTAACCAAAACATACAGTGTTATGAAGGAAAACCTCTTTTTGAGTTTGATCGGGCACGGTTACTCAGATCAGGTCTTGTTGGGTTTACTCTCCATGGATCTCTTTCTCATTATTACTACCAACTTTGTGAGGTGATTATTGCGACTTCTTGAGTTAGAACTATTTTGTAATATTCTATTAACGTCTGACATTGCTTGCATGATTTCACAGGCTCTTTTTCCATTTCAAGAATGGTGGGTTGTCCCTGCTAAAGTTGCTTTCGACCAAACTGTGTGGTCTGCAATTTGGAACAGCATCTACTTTGTGGTTTTGGGCTTATTGCGGTTTGAATCTTTGACTAACATATATGGTGAACTAAAGCAAACATTTTTTCCCTTGCTTACTGTGAGTAGCTATTTGATTTGTTTCTCTATGCTGTCTTCCAGATGTTAATTGTACATGTAATTACCTGCCTAATTGTAAAATTGTGGAGATGTGTCAAGCCAAAAATTGAGCTTATGTACTTGGTCTATGTCATACATACTCTCAGGCTCAAATTAGCATTATAATGTTATATAGCAGGTAGTAACATTGAGTGGACCTAGAATTCAAATTTTCAGGTAGTTCCATCCTATCCTCATTCCGAGCTTGTGTATAATCTCCGTATCTTGATCTTAAACTATAAATTCTTCGGGGTAACTTACCCTGAAATATGCCTTATTTCAGCATGACATATTGTTTCAAGTGTCACAGCGTTCCGTTTTGATTGTGCCCTATACATCCTGCTCTTCAGCTGATTAGTACTGTAGCTATGTTTGAAATAAAAGACCGTGAGATATGCTCAGTCCTAAGCCCCTAATTAATATATATCTGTAGCAAAACAAAGGGCCCTAGTAAAGCAAGTGGTATAGTAAGAACGAATGATCTGATGCCTCTGTTTGCATATAGAAAACTGAACAAATAGAATCTAGAGAAGGTGATGTACCTATTATATATGTCAACTGTGGGAATGACATTGTTATAGATTGCCCATTTAGTCTTTATAGACGCCTTAAAAGGAAAAAGAGAAAATTGAAGGAAGAAAGGGGTCAAATAGGAGTTCAGTCAATGCAGCTAAGCCCTAGCAATATAAGGATGAAGAATAGTACAATGAATTAAATGTATAATTCTTATCCATTATGATTATTTAACTAGAAAAAATTATCCTCTGTGGACAGCTAACATCTCTAATATGCTTCACAGGCAGGGTGGAAACTTTGGCCTTTTGCTCATCTGATTACTTATGGTCTGATTCCTGTGGAACAAAGGCTTCTTTGGGTGGACTGTGTGGAGCTTGTCTGGGTCACAATACTTTCAACGTAGGTTTTCTAAGATTATTTGTCATATCATATTAAATTATTAAACATTACTATTCTTGTCATCAGCAGGATTTTAATGTCCTTTTGGATTTAACTATCACATACCATCATGTGACTTCCCCATTTAAGCATGGATGCACATTACAAATGTGTTACATACAGTCATTACATTGTCAACAGGATTCTCATTCATACACAATCTTATTTTGTTTATAGCTATTCAAATGAGAAATCAGAAGCCCGAATATCTGAGGCATCATCAGAAACAACATCATCCACTCCAAGCCAAAATTCTAAGGTAAGAAGTAGACTGTTTTCTTCCTCTGGTATGATTTAAGGTTTCAGGGTAAGGCTTGGGGTCGTCCCACTGGGATATATTTTTACATGCCTATGATTCTATTGTGCCGAGCAAGATTTGGTAAATCGTTGTTTCACATTGAATTAAAAACAAACAATATACCACACCTTGTCCTAGTCTAATGTTTCTAATTAAAAGATCATTCATCAGTGTTCTACTTCACATATTAAGCTAATAACTTATTTTCTCACTTTTTATTGTCTATTATGTCTTGTGTACCGCCAGGAATAAATGAATTTAAAACTGGGGCAAACACTAATAGTCTACTAAGGTTTCATGGCAGTTACAGAACCAACCTCGCAAATATTCGAAGAATCTATGAGTTGAAGGTCCAATTGAGCGACCGTAGGGACCTGAACTTGTGATCTGCTGCCCATAAAGGATATATACTTACACAGCTCGTGTTGCTTCTAGCTATTATCAGCTATTTAGGTTGCATTTATCAGAATACACATGTAAATGATTGTATATATAATAGTATAATGCATTCGGCACTCAAGTTATTTTCCTTTTATTAAGGTGTATTATAGATCCATATTTCTGTATAAAACAAATTCATCTCATATATTGTGCTGGAAAATGTGAAGAAACTACACAACATTCTCTTTCGAATTTCATCTGCTCTTGCATTTTTAATCTTTCATATAGATTACCCCTCCACTTAACTGTCGAAAAAATATAATAAAAACTGGAATGTTTTAACTGGGCATTTAATTTTTACATTTATTCGCAACAGACTTAAATATTGTTCATGTTACATATTTTTTTACTGCAGTTTTTTAAATAATTACTATTTACTATTGTTTAAATCTTATTGAAAAAAATCATTCTTTTACTCCTACTTTATATATATATATATATATATATATATATATATTTATATTTATATATAGATATAGATATAGATATAATATCTTAGAAGTATAAAATGCATTTGATATTTATATTTAAAAGAAGATTAATTACGAGGATTTAGATTTGAAAAGTGTTATCTAGAATGCATGACTTACGCACGAATAGCATGAAATGTATGCGTGACAAGTCGACAATCTTTTTATTCTTAAAATATTATTTTAATATTTTTAAAATATAAAAAATAAAGTTGATAAATAAGGGAGGATAATTAATACCGACAGATTTGACTTATTTCAAGTTTGATGGAAAAACTTGAGTTGGGATGTGCGGAAGATCAGATTTTTTCCGTTTTAAAATATTGGGATAAAAAGGATAAGGATGATTAATGGAATTTTATTTTAATCTTGTTTAATTTTATATTTAAATTTAAAATATTAATATTTTGAAAATAATTTTTTATTGTATATAAATTTTTTATATTTTATTATTTTTCTTTTTCTTTTATCTATTTTTACATTTTTTTTAGTTTTTTTATCCATTAATTCGTTACATTAACTTTTTATTTTTCTTATTTTATTTCGTATTCACATTTTCTTAATTTTTTTATTATTTTGATTTTTTCAAATTTTTAATGTTAAAAATACAAAATTAATTTTTTTAAAAATATTTTACATAAAATAGTAATTAATATTATTTTATTTATAATTTATCTTTATTAAATTTTATTATTTTATATATTTTAGATTTTATTATTCTTATTTATTATATATCAAGTTTTATTTTAAAAAAATAATTATATTTTAAAGAATTAAAAAATTAATAATTAAAATTTTTATTATTTTCAATTAATTAAATAAAAATTAATTTATTAAATATTTTCTTATAAATTATATATTTTATATTTTAAAATAACAACTTAAAAATAATTAATTTATAATTAAATGTTTGAATAATAATAATAATAATAATAATTATTCTATATCTTTATAAAAAATAATTAAATATTTTTTTACATACATATTTTAATATAAATTAAAATATATATTCAATTAATAATAATTATAAATTATAAATATTTATTTATGTATAAAAATATTAAATTCTAGATCCTATGAAAACTTAATTTTTAATTTGAATAAAGATAAAAGACAAAAATAAACATGTTTAAAATAATCTAATAAAAGGTAAAATCCGTTCCTAAGTCATTATTATGAAATAGAATGGAAATATTTTCAATTAGTTAAATAAATATTGATTTAGTACAGATGAATTTTCTGAAAACAAAGGTAATAGACCTTCAAAATTTTATAACTTCATATATATATATATATATATATATATATATATATATATATATATAAAATTAATTTTGGTCTCCTTACATAATTATTTAATATATTTATAATTTTTTTAAATTTTTTTTTATTTTTATTTATTAATAATATATTATTTATATTCTAAAATTTATAGTCAAATTTTGGCACTTAGGTAAGAATATTGTAAAAGGATGTAAAATTGTTTTTTAGTTTTTAAGTAAATTTCGTAAGAAGTGAAAATAAAAATATTTTTTCTACTCATCTAAATATATATTGACAGAATTTTTTATTTTTTATTTTTCTATAAAAATAATATAACGTTTTCATTTTATCCCGCTTCTACTTTTGTTTTCTTTTTCCTTTGTTTTCTTTCCATTCTCTCTCTCACGTTTATTCGTAATCCAGACGAAAACATATATAGAATGAAACCGAAAACATTACCCAATTGGGGCGTGTTAGGTAATTTTGGATTGTCGTGGCACCCTTAGGCGTAGCTTTTGGGTCATTCAGAAGTAGCAGCGGCTCGCACAAGATCGGAATTCTCCACTCTCCGTTCTGCAATGGCTAAGATCGAAGAACTGAACGATTCCGTTACCAAATCAACGAACAAGCGGAATCACGGCTCAACCAGATTCTTCGTCGTTGTCGATTACCTTTTCATTTTGATCTTCCTAGGATTCCTCTGCTTCATCGTTTTCAAGATTCTCGGCATTTGATTCGATTCCCAACCCTCCGTTTGTTCTGGGCTAGGTATGTGTCGTTTCATGCACAAACACTTCGTTTATTCTCCAATGGCGCTCCTAAAGATTTGATTTTTGTTTTCATGCCCTCTTTGCTAATGAGATGCTTCTTCAACTCCGTTAACTTTTTATTTTTTTCATTTTTATTGAAAAGTATTAAATAGATGGGGCGGAGTGTTTTTGAAGTACAAGTATTGAATATCCTTGTTTTGTGAGGAAAGATGAAGTTATTGCCTATTATTAGGTACCAAAAGTAAAGGACGAGGATTTTGGGTAAAGTCATAAATTTTCTCTTAACAAAATTTTTTCTATTTATAATTTTAGTTTTATGGTATATAGAAATACTGTTTTTTTTTTTAATAATTACAGTAACATTATCTGTAGTTTCTTGAGATTGCATGCGATATGTTTTACCACTTACACAGTTATTTTCCTATTAGGATACAGGTGTAATGCGTTTTTTGTGTTACAAATTCAGTCGTAAGAAATCATAAAGGATGTGAATGTAATTTGTTATTTTTTTATAACTTTGTTACTCTGTTCGTGTAAGGTGTAGGTGTGCATGTTAGTACTTTGTGCTTCCAACACAAACTCATGTTTGAAAAATGATTGTGGAGCTTCCAGGTTTATTATTAGAAGAGGATTATTATTAGAAGAGAAAGAGAATAAAGAAGTACAGATATGATAAATGGCATGATGTAATAGAAATATAAAAATGGAGAGAATATAAATGTTAGAGAGTATTTAGAATTTAGAATAAGAGATTTTTCATAGGTTATTCCTTATCGTTGTATTGAACTTAAATAACTGTATTAGGATTATTTTCATATCTGTATCATATTAAACACTTCATTTGTTCTAATATAATCTATCTTAATCTCCCCTTCTTCTTGCAGGATGTTCACATGATATAACTATGCTTTCATTATAGACCTAGTTCCAAGGGGACATAGCAGTGTTACTTTTTGCTTAGTATTGTAATGTAATAATAATTGAATTTTACATCTTTTTTGAATTTTTTTCTCGAAAATTTACATTATTCATTTTCCATTATGGTATTTTATTTGTTTACTGTGTATTACATTGATCTTTTCAGGGATCTTTCTGCTTTCACATCTTTTTCGTCAAAAAAAAATGACAAATAAGATCAATATCAAAAGTACATTGCAAAAATTAAAAGCTGATAGTGACGTCTGAGTAATCTCTTTCTTATCTTTGCCATCTACTTATTGCTTTTTTTCGGAGGGGGCTGGGATATAAACTACGTGCTTTTATTATCTACCTCTGTTTGTGGTTACTGGATTGGGATAGGGTATAACAGCAGAGATGAAGACCCGGAACTGCCATTTTGCATGCGACACACTTATCAGTGGTTTGGTGTGGTCACTTGCAAATTGATGGCACACCAACTTTGCATTTATGAGAGGCATTTCTATCCTTGGTTGTTATGTCCTATGATAACAATGTAGTATTTTAAAATCATAAAGATATTTTGCTCTGAGGAATTTTTTTTTATAAATCTTGTCATATTCAAGCGTTTAATAGTTGGAGCTTTTTCTTTGGTCCGAGTTTCATGCATTGGGAGGTCAAGCATGACATTGTTGCATTGAGAAAATTTTAACATGATATAGGCAGTTAGAAAGATTCATGCTAAGTATATGGACTAGTTTTATCTTGGCTGTTCAAAGTTTAACACAGATCTTTTTCTTTTTTTGAAGTATTGGATTGGCTATAAATATGAGTGTTTCTATATTTAATGAGATGAATATTACAAAATGGTGGATAAATTAATGAAAATGTTATACATAGGATATAAAGCTATTGAGAGTTATTTGGAAGAGCAAGTATCTTTTAATCTCAAAGAGAAGTTTTATTTAAAGTAGTGAATATTGGATTTTTGAAGGACAAGAGAGAAAAAAGGTGGAATTGGCAAAATAATAATGAACATGTGCTAAGATGAATATGTGATGATAACGTTGAGATTATTGACAAAAAGATTATAGAAAATCAGTAAAAGTAGTTTAGGCCTATCCAAAGACAGCGGCTAAAAGTATCAGTGAGGAGTAAGACTGTATGATTTTTATCCCTGCAAAAAATGTTGTATCATGAAAAATACTAGAAAAAGTTGTCAAGCTGAATAATATGTCTGATACCCAACCCGAATTGATCAGAATTCAATTAAGTTGAGTCAGTTTGGTTCTAAAGTGTGAAAATGAGAAACCTTAACCTGATCATAAATTATCTACTTAGTTTAAGGGGTTATTATTTTTTTTTTTTTTAACTTATCACAATTTGTCCACGTTTATCTTGTACATGAATCCACGATAACTATGCTCTTTCAAGACATTATTCTTGCATTCACTTGTGAGGTGTAGCGATGAGGTGTAATATGTTCATTTAGAAAGCCTATGTCTGAAGATAATTTTAACATATTTCTGTGAATGAGTGAGAACGTATATTTCATTTGTTATAGGATTTAAAAAAAATACTCCCAAGCATAAAACATCCAGAGGAAAATAATATTTTCCATATTATTACCATGTTTTAATTCCTACAAAGGTGGGCAAATTGATTTTCATGGTATATAAATAACATTAAAATCTCTGTTTTTATCTTTTAAATTTTTCTACATCCCATCTTAAAGAGGTGTCAACAAATTTTTGTAATTGGATTTAATTTTCATCATTGTATTGCTGAAATTTTAGTACCAGAAATAAAATTAAACAACTTAACACAAAGATTCCGAGCAAAAATAGTTACACTTGAAGAATTACTGGTTAAAGCAGATGTTCATTAAATTAAGTTGCTGGCTCTACCTAACCATTGTACATATATGATTGGAAGAAATAATGACAAAATATGTACGGAATTACATAAAGGTTGACAGTAACACTTTCTCATATATATATATATATATATATATATATATATATATTTTTTTTTTTTTTTTTTTTCACTTTTATTTTATTACTGAGGGTGTATACACTTTATCATTCTCTCTTAGAATATCATTAGTTACTGTATATAACGAAGCACGAGCAATTCAAATAAAGGAGTTATGATTAATGATTGAAGGCCAAGGAATCCAACCAGCACTAGCAGAAAGGCTCTGCATATCAAATAGCAGATAGTACACACAGAACTTATTCACCAACAGAAAACAAGTAGACTAGTACTTCAATTTTGTGAAAAGCATAACATAACATGTTTGGAAACTACACCTAACTATAGTGCAATTATGCATACAGCATGATGGCTTACCATGAGTACTGAGAGGACTCACGGATTAGCTGGAACTGGAACTGGAACTGGGACTCCAGCACCACTTCTAGGGCTTGGAACCTCAAAACCAGGGTTTGGGACAAATGTGTCATCCCCACCTGGAACATAACCACCACCTGAAACTGGTGCTGGCTCTACTCCACTACCACCACCTGAAACTGGAGATGGCTCTACTCCACTACCACCACCTGACACTGGTGCTGGCTCTACACCACTACCACCACCTGAAACTGGTGCTGGCTCTACTCCAATAACACCACCAGTGCTTGGATTTTGAGGTGTAAACCCAAAGAAAGGAGGAATCCCTAATCTCCCAAAGCCAGGAATATAACCATCAGAAGGGAACAAAAACTGAGGTTCTTTCTTGTCCCCTTTGTGTGAGTTCTTTGGTTTAATGTGGCGTCTTGCAACTGCTTGCCATGTAGTGGCAAGAAGGATGGTGGTGATGAGAAGAAGTCCAAGGAGGGAGGAAGGTTTGGAAGCCATTATTGTGCTATGAGATTTTGGTTGAGATGTGTTTTGTGTTGAAGTTGAAAGGTGTGGCTGCGTTTTATAGGCACAGGTTGTACGGAGTTTGGTGTGTATTGTAGCGGTGAATTAAGTATTTTTTTTCCTGGGCAAATATACTCATGGGAATATTTGCAACAAGTTCTTTTTTCTGCTTGGAGATATGAGATTAACTAGTTCTGTGATTATCATTGATTCAATGAATTTTCGCGGAATCAAACACAGATTTTTTTGTTACATCAATAGATTCTATAACCGGGGAGCATGGTTTTATGTGCATATGATGGTGTCTGTTTGGTAGTTGATTATTTGTGGTTCAGTGAACTTCAGTACGCTTAATTTCTCACAATGGTTAAAATGCATTTTAGCCTCACTTTAAATACCTTCTATTTGTGGAAGATAGTTACCAATTTAGCGGCCATTAAATGAAGCCGTAGCATGGCTGAGTCATCGAGCATCATTTGATGAACATTTGGCATTGCTTCTACCTTCCTTCGTTATTTATGTTGCCTCGTTTTTTAGTCTTGTCAATTTCTGAGTTAAAGACAGTGGATGATGTAATAAATTTTAATTCTTCGTAAAATTTAGAGAAAATAAAATAATTTTAATAAACTTACATTAATTTATATACAACTGATTTATTGAAATTCTTTTATTAAATTTTTACTTATAATTTTTTTTGGGATAAATTAGTTTTAAGTCGTAAAAAAAGTTTCTTTTTTTTCGTATTGTTAAATCACTTAGCAGTAGCGAATTTTCAAGTGTAAACGTTATGCTTATTGGAGTTGAATGCAAGTTAAATGTAGCTCTATAAATGATAATGGTGGTGTACTTTAATTATAATTTCAATTTAATATTATAAATGTTTAACTAAAACTTTTATAACGTAAATAACACTATCAAAATACATTTTAATTAAAAACAGTGTTAAAAACACTTAATAAATTACATGTAATTTGTCCGATTTCAGAAGTCATATTTAGCGGCTGCAAAAGGCGGGAGAGTGATAAACCAAAAAAAAAACCTTTTCCGCGACTTCTTCTGCAACCAAAATCCATCCAAATCATACTCTCATTGATAGGTTATTGCATAGTAATTAAACATGGGAGACAGAATGATTAATGGTGTAAATTGATGCTGCAAAGAACATCATGTAGCAGATGCAGCAGAGGAACTGCGTCATGTTCTTCAACCAAGAGCCAAGACTAAATTTTTAAGTTATTTTGAAGAACTAACTTCTCTAAAAAAATTAGCATAATATTACTTTCTATAGATATTTTATAAAAGAAATCCTTACAGAAATGTCATCATTATTTTTATAAATTCTTTTAAAGACTTATAAGTGTTTATGTCTTTTAATATATGTATATATATATATATATATATATATAAACTCTTTCCAACAGATCTTAAGGAGTAATGAGAAGTATTTTTAAAAGTAACAACAGTTTTGAAAGATAACAAATATTTAAGTAATTTTCATGGCTCGGTTAATAAACCTCTCAACATACCCAAGCTTGAGCTTGCCAAATAAACCAATGATGGATAATAACAGCATATTCTTAGCACTAGCTGAGGTCTTCAAAGTTCAAAGATGGAGTTCGTTTGTGTGCATTCTTGTTTGATTTTTAGTAATATTAGATGCTGAATCCATATTTTTTGGTGGCCTTAATTAAACATCATTTTCTTACTATCCATAGAGAGAAATTCTTGGTTGAATTCACTGTGTAGCAACATGTACTACAAACCCACCAAATCAACGAAACTCAGGAGTCTGGCTTTTCCTCAGAAAATCTAGGAAGTTGAACCAGTGAGTTTACTCTGGTCACACCCTCCAAACCTAACCAGTTTTGATCTTCAGCGCCTGATGTTATATCTTCAACATCATCAGCAGATACTACTCCTCTTCCATAGGTGGCATTCTCTTCCGAGGATCTCACTGTGAAGTTCCTTTGCAAAGTTGGCTCAGACTTTTGACCATCATCTGTCTCAACAGGATTACCCGAATGGTTGCTCTGGATGGTAGCAGAAGAGAAGCATTGCTCATCACAATCAGATTCTGAATCCATTTTTCCATCCAGAAATAGGCACACTACAGCACAGTCATCCATTTTCGAAGTAGGATATTTAAGTTTCCACTCTCGAGCCGCGGAATCCACCAGAATCCTTGCTGCTGATGATCGAGTCGGTGCTGAAGATACTATCCCAACCACCTCTTCGTTGCTCAAAACATCCCAGATCTACACAAAACAATGCCATATAGTTATCAGGACTCAGGAAAATATTTGAGTTTTCAAAGCTAGCATTAATTTTCTGAAAGGTGATGCTACAAAGTTAACTTGTAGAAAAGTCAATATACACAAGAAAGCAGGAAATCAATGATAAAGTTTTTGGATGGACTATTTTGCTGACTTTGCAAATTTCACTCCAGCAATGCATTTTGTATCCTCATCAAAAGTGGTAAGAGTACTGTGAGCTTTCTTTTTATATTATATCTTGCACAATGCAGTTCATTTTTATCATATTAGACTTATGATACCACCACTGAATGTTTAATTATCTTGATGGCTACATGTCTTTCCTGTTTACAATGGATAGAATTAGTTTGTAGAGAAAACAATAGGTTATACATAGCTTAAAGTTACTTGACAATTCTGATGCCTTTCACACATATTTTAGGCGGTCATTAACTGTACTTGTGGAACATAGTTTAACATTTCCCTTGACATTATGTTGAGAGAAAAATTAATGACAAATTTCGATACAGTATATAAAAAAAGATGAGATGAAAGATTCTTACCCCATCCGAGGCAAGAACAATGAACTGATCTTTGTCTGTTAGTAACCGATGAGAAAATTCAGGTATAGAAATCACACCGTATTCCTTCAAGCAAAAATCTCCAAATGCTCTAGCCATTGCTAATCCTGGTGCATCATCAAAAGGCAACCATACCCTATGAACTTCTGGCTCATCTTGTAATGCAAATACCCTACCCTTGCATCGTTTGATTCTTTCAGCTTCTCCTAAAAGAATTTACATCCAAATTTACATTCAGCAAAAACATAGATTGCAAATAGATAGGATGAATGATCACGGTATTTAACACACTTGGCAAATCAGGCTTCAAATCAATGGTCAACTGAACTGCCACCATGGAGTCATTGCTGTCCTTGGATCCCATGATTGCTCGGGAGTCTCCAATATTGCCTATGAATAAATTTGAACCCTGTGCAAAACGAAAAGGAAACATGAGGATATATACTGCAAGTTGATATAACTGCTTCACTAATGCAATATGAAAAGGAAACAAAAGGATAGATACTGCAAGTTGATATACCTGTTTCACAACAGTGACAGCTGTGCTCCCACTACAGAAGCAGTCCAAATTTGGATGAGACCTCAGCTCTTTATCCATAGCCTTGTATGCCTTCATGAAAGCTTCTCTCCACATAGAATTCAGTTTATCTTCAGCTGTGGCATCTTTCTCAGACTCTCCACTTTCAGGCTTCGCGTTGCCTCTGAAACAAGTTTTACCTGAACCATTTCGCCCTGATTCGGAGGGATGCAAAAATGAAAGCAGTTTGAGTGGCAAGGCGTCTGTGACTCTGTGTGCAACAAGGTGACCATGTGGACCATGTCCATCAAAGACACCACAAAAGGTCACATCTTCTGACATGAAATCCTACAGAAATAAAGGTCCAAACCAAGAATGTCAACTTCCTAAATTAACTAGATTATGCTTCGTTCAATGAGAATAGTACATCCTCAACACTATAAGATGAACATACTTACTTCCCATACAATCATGGCATCCTGATTAATACCCTTACGACCCTGCTGTGTATATATGCAAGAAGACCTGCTCTTTCCATTCGTGAAAATTCTGTTGGGTAAGGATGGTAATTGGTGCAGAGAGACAGCATGATCAGAGCATCTTCTCCTTCCACTCTTTTGACCACAGAATCCTATTTCTAGACACATCGGAGCGGTTGTGTCTCCGGTGCTCCTGCTACTACAAGTACTCTGACTGCTTGTTGAGACGCAACAGCCCATTTGGTCAGTTCCCGAATGAAGACATCAGGTGGAAATAATGTCAAGTTCCTTCCTTTTCCACTATAGATCTCACATCAAACTCAGATTCCAATTGTAGTCAACTGAGTAAATAGTCCTGACTCCAAAGATTCTCTAACATATAGAAGTACTAGACAATCTACACCTTGAAGTTGAAAACTGGAGTCTTGGGTACTTGGTCAAAAGCACAATTTGCCTGAAGCTAAACAGATGGATACTGAAACCAGCTGAACAAAAAGAAGACAAATGAATTTTATAGTTAATAAATATATGGTCTGAAAGAATCAAGCCCTTGTTGCATGTAAAGAATTCAAAAACTAAAAGAAGGAAAGACTCAAATAACCAACCAATAAGCATATAAAAATCCCAACATGTGAACAAGTAATATAATATACTAAATTCTGTCCGCTCATTTGTCTTTCATCAGGATTCACATTGAAGGCATCGAAATGGAGAGATTGAATAATTAAATCAAGAAACTGTGAAATAAAAAAGAAATTGAAGTAAACAAAGACAGTGAACACATCAGACAGCGTCCTACTCCAATCTATCTTCAAATTTCAAACGGGTAAAGCACCAAAATCTCTACCATGCCTTTTCACAGAATTTCTATCTTCATTGAATTTAGGATCAAGTATATATCAAGACCATGGAATTTCCAATTGAAAACCAAAACACCCTTTTGATATTTTCTTAATTTTTCCTCAAATCGGTGAGGAACATCTAATAGTAAAATGAAGAAATGAGAAACACACAGTTATAGAACTAGTCAAAACAAACTTGAATTAACTAACCCGAATGAGATCAACAGCTAAATGTGAATAACTGTCCATGACCAAAAGCGTACATAGTTATGAACTCTGGCTTTCTAAGCCTTTTTCCCGTTTAACCTCTGCGAACAGGTGGAACAGAAAACTTGGAAAACGAAACTTGAAAGAGAGAGGGAGAGAGAGTAAAGCAGGAAAAACAGTACAAACAAACTCTGGTTTCCCTCAGCAGAGAAATACAAGAGATAAAGTGAACGCAAAAGCAGAAAAGGACGAAAGAAAGGTATGACATGATCTCGTCAACCAAGAATCAGAGAGACAACAATCAAGTAAACCTTACGTTATTATCATAATAACAAGCAAAAGAAAACAACAAATGTCGCAATAGGAGACCGAGTATGAATGAGTGAACAATTCTACAAGGACCACATCAACCCAAAATTATAGAATTTATAACAATAATATCTACAATAACATATCAGAAAGATCAAGCGAAGTATGAATAAGCCATCTCAGAACTAGGAAGCAAAAACATAAAGTAAAAAAAGAAAAAAAGGAGATTTTGGTGTAGAAGGCAGTGAAAAAAAGAGAATTTTGCAGACACTAATTAATTTATAAACACTCAGCAGACAATGAGATTGAGGGGACTTTTTAATTATCTGATACAGTTGAAATCGAAGTGTGTGAAGGCAGAGAAAGTGAACATGCAGATCCTGCATCTGCATTAGTGGCTTTGTCTCCAAAAGAAAGAAAACTAGTTGATAGTAAAGATAGAAAGTGTGAGATTGAATGGTTGAAAGGTGGGAAAAGAGAGGAAGATGGAAATGGTGGAAGTACATCGATCACCTTTGTTAGTATGTGTGATGAGTGAAGGGAAGGGGAATGAAGTGATTGTTAACAAAGAGGGAAGGGGTGGCTTATGTGAATTTATTAATTGCATAGACAGCAGACAGAAAAAGACGGTAAGTAATTCAGCAGGGAGAGGTAATACAAATAAATGGCTCTTTAGAGCATATCCACTTATATGAATTTCTTTACAATCTCATTTATGAGTCAATTGTGACACATTATTGTGAAATAACTTACATTAAATATGTTTTAATAAAATTAAATTCTACCTTCAAAAATGTAGATTAAAGTTTATATCGTTTTTATTATGCTTCTTTTGCTTAAAAAGAAAAAGTTATCTACCTTAAACTTAAACAAATTGGATAATATATAAAAAATAAAGATGAAAAAAATAATTATTTTTCTTGTTAATTTTTATACTTTAATGATCTAAATAATAATTTATTTTAATCTATTAAAAAAAACGAGGTATTATTTAATTTAATAAGAATTAAAGATTTTTTTTATTTTTATCATTATTTTTTAATATAATTATTTAAAATGATAATTCATCTTAATTTATAACTATTACGATGATTTAAATAAGTGATAATATTGAGAGCTAATCTTTATAATTATATATTTATTTTATAAATTTTATGAATTTAATAGTTATTTGAATTAATAATGTTATAAAATACATAATTATAACGATTGATTATTAAAAATTAATAAAATATATTTTATGCATAATAAATTTTATTATAATTTGAATTAATAATTGATATAATTCATATTATATATATATATAATAAAATATGTCTTTTTATATTATATTTTTTAAAAACAAATACTACAATTTACGGCGTACAATACATAATTAATGTAAACGTTTGATGTAAATTTTAGTATTTTTTTAAATATTAAATCATTATACATCGAATCTGATACCAATAAGTTAACTATTTATTTAATATGTAAATCTATATTTCTAGCTTAAATTTTTAAAAATAAAAAACAAAAAATATAAAAATCTTCTTATGTAATTAGTGAAATGTTCTTTAATAAAAAAAATGTATTGTATGCTGTGACATGCACTTCTTATTTTGGAGGATTTAAGCTTTTTAAATTAATATCTTTTTTATTAGTTTTTGTTAATATATGTCCTAATTAAATGAGCTGCATTATGATAATTGGATATTTTCTATGATACTCTTTTGAAAAAAAAATTATAGTTATTAATTATACACATGTAAATTATAAACAGTTTTATATTTTAATTTTTTGACTTAATAATATTTTTTATCTTTAACGTCCCATTTAAGAGGGCGTATTATTAAATATTTCTGACCGTTTGCCACAGTTTATTAATTGACAGTTAAAGTTTACAAAAATAAATTAATTATTGATATTTTTTAATTTCTATTTAAATTATTTAGAATATACAAAATTAATGAATTCTAATTTTGATGTTTAGAAAAGAAAATTATTTTTTATCTTATAAATTTTAAAATCACTATTTTTAATTCTTATAAAAATGTAATTTTAAGTTTAGTTTTCGTAATTATTTTCAAAATTTTAAATAATTGCTTTCGTTCTCTAATATTTATTTTAAGATAGATAAATAATATTTATTTTACATATTTAAATTTTTTTTAGATGATACATATTAATGTTATATTATTTGTCAAGGATTGTTTAACATTTTGTTTTACGTAAACTTTTTACATGAACCTAAATCAAAAGCTCATTCTGAAAAAAATGAAAACAAGATTTTTTTTTCCTTGTAATTACAAACAGTAAAAAATATGAATTTAGTTGGCATTATTTTATGTTTACGGATTATTTAAAATCATACAAACAGATATATAATAGATTTTCAGAGATTTACGATCAATTGTTGATTGTAAAACTAGATTAACAATGATTTTTTTTCCTATTTCTATATATATATATAGAGAGAGAGTAATAGTGGTAGAGTTATATGAGTTGGCACACTAATTATGCAATTGCATCTTGCACAAGAAATCATGGCAATTATCAAAATATGGTCCCAGAATATATGGAATTTAGAAGTGAAGGAGAGAACCACTTTCAAAGGTCCCCACCAGCACTGCATTAATGCAGTCACGAGAGAGACCCAGAAAGTAACTGCAGTGGAAAACAGAGTTGGGGAAAATTAAATAAAATAAAAAGAATAATTGTTCTTATTGGACTAGGCCAGATCCATTTTAAGATGTTTCTAGTTTTTTTAGAAAGAGTAAAAGACATTTTAACTTAAGTTAATTTAAAAAAAATAGTATATTTAAGAATAAATGATAATAAAATAATACAAAATTTTGGTTTTATTTTACATCTCTTGTCCATCTACATACTACATCATTTGGGTAAGAAGAATAATGGTATGTAACAGTCAAAATTAAATAATAGTATGTTAATTATCAATAAAAATTATCTTAAACATATTATGTATATTATGTTTATAAACTTTTACGTTATACAATATAATAATTATCTAAAAAATTATATATATATATATATATATATATATATATAATTTTTTTTTCCACACCGTATCATGACAATAAAAATTCATGGGTGCTTACTCATTCGTTATCCGGTTCAAATTAACTGAAAACAACTAAAAATGAAAAAGACATTTAAAAAATCATAATTAAAAAGAAAAATGAGTTTACCGTTAAAAAATAGTTAATATTAATAAAAAATATTATTATTATACTTTACTAAAATAATCATAACAATATTATTATAGGAGATATAACACTCATACATTCTCATTTTTAGATGAAATATTAATATTTAGTAGAACTATATATTTTTTAGTTTTTGACTTTAAGACTTATATTTTAATATATTTATTAATCTCATATCGTTTAAGAGTAGAGATCAATAATAATTTAAATATAATTTTTTTTCTTAATCTTATCATAATTTAAATATAACTTTCTTTCAACCTATTGATGAGACTTTTAAAGAAAAAAATCCTATCAGACAAAAGTTAAAAAATAAAAATTTTATTCTAATTTAGTATCATAATAAATATAATATTAAAATATTTTATATAAAAATTCACCATAATAATATTTTTATAATATACATTAAACAAGATAATGAAATAAAATGTTATTAGAGTAGACATTAAACGAGGATTGTGAAATAAATTTGAACTTCAAGTTTGCATATTCATTATGACACACTCGTGTTCTTATCCTAATTGGAATTTGAATTCCACACTCTATTGAATCCATTAATGGATAAGCGTGAAAGATGTTTTTCAGCGTCATACTACTATCTATCCTCCAATTATTATTCATAGGGGTGTTAGCGATACTCCTTGATTTAGTTTTGCATTACAAATTTTTAAATTAAATATGAATATGATTTGATCTAGTTTTAGTTTTAAACAAATATTTAAATAAAATAAAATCAATATTTTATGATTTAATTTGGTAATTTTTGTATTTTGTTAATATAAAATTATGAAATATATTATAATAAAATAATTATTAAATAAAAAATATATTATAAAATATTATAGATAATTAATTGTAATATTTTATGGTTTTATTTTCTTTTAATATACTTTTACATTTAATTTAAATAATAATAATAATAATAATAATACATATCTTAAATTATAAGAAATTAATTACTCACTCATATTAAATATCACTTTATATTGAATTGATTTTTAATTATTAATCTAAAAAATGAATCAATTAATTTTAACAAAATTTAATTCAAAAAAATTGATTGATTTTTTATTTTATTTTTTTATTGATTGGATTTTGGATACCTCTAACTATTATTAGCTTAATTTAGTTATAAAAAAAAATAAGTAGGGAATATGTGAGATACTCATTCACATCCAACCACAAATCATCTCTTAATTGGTTACTTAAATTTACTTAATTAAGCTCAAATGTATTATTGATATATATATATATATATATATATATATATATATATTAATATTATATATATATATATATATATTATATGAGTTATTTCTTATAATGTAAAATAGAGATTTATGATGTCATATCATTTTTTAAGCCACTTATTATTATTTTAATTTATTAAAAGTTTTTTAATATATTTAAAAAAAAATTCTCTTCCACTATGTCTCATTATTTACTTTTGTTTATTTTTTAAGTTTTTCACAAAACAATTACCAAAAAAGTTTAAACACGTATTATGGCAAATAGAATTCCTTCAATAATAAATTACTTTAAACAACTAATGTTTTATTTAAACATTTCATTAAACCACTCCCATTATATATGTTTTTAGTAATTATTATTACTATTATTAATTTAATCTAGATGGTGATGTATCATGTCTTACCCTCTAATGAAATTATATAAGAATAAATAGTGTATATACCAAGTGTTATTTATTAAGATGACAAAACGAATTAGGTGTGTTGGATCAACCTCTGAGTCAATTTTAAAATTGGCAGGTAGATTGATAGTTTCACGATCTGTTATTTATTATTTATCCTACTTAATTCGTCAATCTAATATGTTAAAGATAAAACAGGATTGATTGATCTATTTTTAAGAATATTTATATATTAAAATTAGAAGGATTATAAATAAAAAATATTCGTTATATTGTTGAAATATATAAATATATTATAATCTTATAATTTAAATTATACATATTAATAAATTAAGTTTTAATTATTTATTATAATTAAATATTTTAACATCTAAATATAGCATTTTTTTTAATTTATTCATGTAATTATATATATATTTATAGTAAAAAGTTATATAAAAAAAATACTAACCCTTAAATTCATTTTTTATGGGATAAACTGATATTTATAATTCGTTCGGACTATAATGAATTAGACTGTATAATAAGAATGAGATAAACCAAAACGAGATAAATTGACCAATTTTATTATTTTATTATTTATTTATAAATTATTATGTATAATTTAAAAAGTGAAATTCTCAAGTTCTTTTTACTCAATTATGTGTTTTTAATATTCAATTTCTTCTCTTATTTAGAAGTATATATATTTTATACTGTATTTTAACAACTAACTAAAAGCTTTCTCTTCTTAATTATCTATCTCAAATTGCCTTTTATATATATATATATATATATATATATATATATATATATATATATATATATATATTTAATTTTCTTATAAATCATTTATCATTTTGATTTTTTTGATAAAATGTACCAAGACAATCATGCTCGAGTTTACCAAATAGGATTGAAAATTCTAAATAATTACTTGAAAATGGATAAACAACACGAACATAAACATCTTCGCGATAGTTTTTTTTTTTTTTAAATAAAATATTACGTGTTTTAATCTAGTCAATCATCCACTAATCTTATTCGCTGACCTAATGACTTGTCTTTGTAACTTGTAAGCTATCCACTAATCAACCGACAAGATTTTTTAAAATGATAGTTTCAATGAATAAATGGAGCGTTCTCTTTAAATTGTTCTTAAGTGGGGACAAAAATAGTTTTTCAGGATTTTTAAAAATTAAAATTAATTTGTTAACAAAAGGATTTTTTTTTAAAATAATACAAGTTTTATAAAGTTAATTGAAACAAATATTAAAAACGCTAGCTGGTTAATTACATTATATGAGTTGTTTAATATTAATGTCCAAAATTACAAACTGAAACAAGTTTTTTTATTCATTTTTTTTATTTTGACGGAACAAAACAAGATATACTCCAAAATTCAGCATTCTAAATATAAATAAATCTAAGAATTATATGATTTTCTGATTACGAGGTGAGGTGACGTGTGTTATTGAATTAGGTAAATATTGCGTTTATGATCCCATTGATTTTAAATCTACCCTTGTTGAGAGAGAAACTCTCATTATGCAAGTCATAAAAGATTGACCAAAAAAAGTAGTAAAATAAAAGGAGGGAAATACACAAGTGTATGGTTTTATGATGTTGGCATTAGTGCTGCAGAACCAACTTTCTGCAACTCTGTTGTTGAAAACAACTGTTAAAAAATAATGCTGCATTGATAGTGTAAGTGTATCAACTGGGACAAATGCCAAGTATTGGAATAGGACACTAATTTGTAACAAAGAAGCCCATGTTGGGTGGGCCTCGGCCCTATAGCAAGTTGATTGTTTCTTTCTGCACCTCATATTTTCTTCGTGCATTTTTTATTTATCTAAAATGACAATATTGTCTCTAACGTAAATCTGTTTTAGAAATGAGTTTTTATTATGTTTTTTCAAAAACTTATTTTTGAATTGTATTTTCTGAAAATATCTTATAGAAAATTGATTGTGAAAACATTTTTGAAAAATTTATGGAAAATTTTTAGAATATATTTCTAAAAAACACCATCTAAAAGTAAGTTTTCAGATTATCTACAGCATATTTTAAAAAATATAATTCATAATTGTGTTTTTAATTAGCCTATCCAAAACTCATTTCAAATTATGTTTTTTAAAAATATTTTATAAATTCAATAATTTATAACACTGCAAATACAAAACAAATATATAGAAGTGGTGGTATTGGAAAACGTTTTTACAGGAAAATTTACCTCAAAAACATTTTTTTAGTAACCTCAAATATTATGAAGGTGCGGAACAAATTATTGGGGTAAAGGGAGAAACAACCTAACAAGTTTAGTTTCTCCTCAAACGGATCGGTAGGAATCTTTTCACGGACCAAAACCCAAAGAAAAGAATTGCATTACATAATGTAGGTTAAATTATACTTATGCTAATTTCATTTAATATTTGTTATTTATTAATCTTACAAAAAAATCTCCCTTAATTTATATAAAGGTTTAACTTTCAACCACAATTTTGTTTACTAGAAGAGCAATTATACAAATGTAATTTAAAATGGGGCGAATTTGGTGAATAAAAAGAGAGAAATAGAAGAAGTTGAACTATCCACAAATAAGTTTAACGAATAAAAAACTGTGTCTGCTGTTAAGAATAGCATAATCTCTTGCAGAAAATTAGAAGTGAAGAACAGAAAAATGCAGTGAAATAAAAAAAAAATGTAAGAGAAAGGGAGATGAAAGACAAATTACAGAGCATAATCGAGGTTACTTAGGTTTATTTACTAATAATGCCTTCATGTCATGATCGCAAAATGCCTCCATTCTTTACTTTCACTCTATGATATGACTGCATACATACATACATACATGCATCCATTTTTTTTACGCTCTTCCTGTGATTCCAGTTTTCAATACAAGAATAATACAAAAAAGGAAACCAGCATTTAAGAAACATTGAAGGAGAAGGAATCGAAAGAAAGAAAAGGTTGTTGCATGGCTCATCTTCCTCTTAGAAGCGCCTTCTCGGCGGTGTCCACCTCCTCCAAGATCCTCGCCCTTCGTTTCGCCGGAATGGGAGCTGTTGGTCCGAAGCTAATGTAGTGTCCGGAGACAGCATTCAGCGCCGAGTACATGTCCCTGAACGAAGCCCTTCCCAGAAGCGTTTTCTCCCTCCTGAACTTCGCCACCCACGAGTTCGAACTTTCTCTCAAGTCCGCCACCGCCGTTGCCACGTTCGGGTCGTTCTTTTCCAACGTGATCGTCGTCCTCACCTTGCTGATCACTTCCTCCGTCTCCTTCACGTACTCCTCGTCCGACGCAGCCACTGCCGGGGCCAGCGGAACCACGGAGGACACGACAGAGGCGGTGAGGGACAAGAATTCGCGGCGGCGTGGGTGGGTGGTGGTGGCGGTGGTTGGGGTAAGGGTGGCGGAGATGACGGTGGTGGGTTTGTGCTTGATGGGGGTGAGTGGTTTCGGGGTGGAGGTTGGAGTTATTAGTGTTGGGGAAGCCATGGTGTTGAGAAAGGTGAGAGAGAGTGAGAGAGAAAGTTAAGAGTTTTAGCGATGTGTGGTGAGAAGGAAGAAGAGGTAGTGGGTTTTTGCCACGTGGCCTTATCGTCTTATCTTTGGTTTTGGTTTTTGGATGAGAAAGCAACCAATGGTTTGTAAGCTATAGATCCACACCTTCACCTGTCCTCTCCTCAAATGTATTTATTTCATTTACAAAATTGCACTTTTTTAGGTTTAATTAGTATTTTTAAATAATTATACAAGATTTGTTAAACGACATGTAAGACTTTTTAGTATAGATAGATAGCAATAGCAAAGCCCAATCCACATGAGGACAAGAGGCCCATGGTGGATACTTGTTGGATCTGATTTAAACAACTTTTCAGTCAGGTGTTGGGCCGGGTAATCACAAACCCGCAAATAACGCGGACATAACCAACTCAACTTATCTTACAAAATATTCAACACCAAAAATGAGTGCAATGTAGGTTAACGATGTTTTTTAATAATATTTACACTTTTCTATAATATTAGTTAAAACAATTTAATCAACTTTTTTCACTCCAACCAAAAAATTAATTCCGACTATTTCTATTCTCTCTATCAAATACATAATTAGGCTTCAACGTGTTTGGGGAGACCACTTTTTCGGGTCTCAAAATGTTTGTCCAAAAACGTAGGTCTCAACTGTTTTTTCAGTTTCCGGTGGGTTTAGTTCATTTTCACTATATTTGGACAGTTTAAAACCTTTGGAGTTTGAATGTGAACCTTCATTTTGGTGAGGGACAAATGCAAGAAAATATCAAGTCAATTTAAAAAAAAAAAAAAAACACGAGTTTAAACTCAACTAGTTTCGTTAAAACCGATATGTTTGGGGATTGGAAAGTCAAGAAACAAAGCATAATAATAACATTTGTGGGAGTTTCAATGGATGAGATGAGAATTGCTTTGTGAAGAACATGGAGAAAAGACAAACACAGTACATTTATAGCGACAGATAGATTGTGATCTTATGAAGCAAAACATGAATACTGATTGTTTTGTTTCTTCATCACTTGGCTTGATATGAAATTATGCAGAAAAATTAAGATGGTGGCCTTGTCAGCAACACTAGAATTAAAATGTTTAGCTTTTTACGATTACATGGGTTAAAGGGCAACTAAAAATATCAACAATTTGACATATATTTAATGCATGAGGGAACATGGGAAATCTTTGATAAATATCTCATGAATTTGTCTCCCAGACCGTTGAATATGGACCTACGTAGTTAAACACTTTCTTTAACTCTTCATCAAACTCGGGTTGATAAGGGCGAAACAATTTGAAGTCTGAATCACCAATCAAAGCTTCAAACCAACGACACACAAATATTATAATTAGATTGTATTTTTAACATTTGGTGGGGGTTATGGGAGAGAGGACTCGGAAAGTCAGCAACACGTTTATGATATGAGTCCACTCTTCTTATTAAATTGAACCCAGATTAAACAAACTTATGGATAAAGACTATTTTTTTATAAAGTATTTTTAATTAATAAAAATTATTATTATTTTAATTCTTATGAAAAGCTTGTCAAAATATAATGTCAATAACACTATTCGTTGCTATATACATTAGTAGATAATTGATAGTTGATGAAATTTATTAAAATTATATACTATTTTTATTTTTGTATAGAAATGAAAATACAATAAGATTTATTGATATTAATGAAATAGTTATGAAAGTTTTTTATTTTATCTTCTTCATTCTCACTCCACAAGAAACACAAATGTGTAAATGAATCAATATAATTTAGGTGAGAAATAAATTATAACTGACAAAAGAGTTTTTATAATGTTAAAATTAAAAACAATAAATATTTTTTTAAAAAAATTTGTCATATAATTAAAAAGAAATGAAAAGAGTAATATCAATAGCTCTTGATTGACTAAAATAGGAAGCTGAGATTCACATTATTTATATTAAATTTTAACCAAATTTAAAAAAAAAACTTATTTTTTGAATTATCAAAAGTAGTATATATAAAATTATAAAAAAAAGTCTTAACTTTTGACTTTTACTAGTGTCCTTAGCATTTGCCTAGTAGTATAAAATAGTAGATATAAAAGTGACTCGTTTTTATTTATTTATTAAATTACCTAACACATTTAAATCTGATCTAGCTAAAAATAAAAGCTTGACCAAAATACAAAGACTCATTCCCTTGATTGCGTCCACTTTGAATTGGTTATACTAAATCTGGTTCCTTTGGTTAGGAATATCAGATCAATTTTGCATAAATTAAAACATTGTTTACCAAACATTTACCTGTTCATCAAATATTTTCAGCCAACAGTATAGAAAAGCAGGACTATGTTATATGTATAGTTTTCGAACTAGATCATGTAGCTGCTCAATTAAAATCTTAATCCTGTTGCTGCATTTGTAATCAACATATTCACTTTTGACAAATATATAGGGACACCATCCAATAGGACAACATGGTTTAAACACATTGCAGATAAACTTCAGGCCACGACATTCTTAATTAAAAAATAAGATGGTGATGTTGTTTTCCCTGGTGTTGAAGGGCATTAGATATTCGTAGTTTACTGCATTTTAATATTGCAGACATGTAACTAGATATTTGCAAATCCTACCAAAGCAGTTAAGTATTATATATTATTTCCCCCATGTATAGTGTTTGCAAGTGACCCCCACTAATCTTGGCACTTAACTTTTGGTGCCTGTTTCAAATTGCAGCATGATCTTCATCGATGGTTATCTGATATCGCAATATGGTTAGAAGTGCCATGTCACATGTCATAGCTCGAGTTATTTAAGTATATATTAACCCCTTTTTCTCGATATACTGATGCAACATGATAAAGAATGATGCATTACACTATATATCCATTTCATAATTATTCATCATCCATCTGCAACAGTTGATTTGTTTATGGTTTTTGTAACCATTTTGGAGAATGTGATGTGAGTTTTGCTCGGGACCACCAACTACCATTTCATTTGAAACCTTTCCCTGTACAGGGCATTGGAAAAGATCAATGACTAAAGCTTTGAAAATCTCTTTGATGTGAGTGATTGAACTTCTTGACTTCCCTATCATATGTTGTACAACAAAAAGAGGTGGCAATCAAAGTCAGACCTTAGAAAAACGGTGCCTAATTGTTTGCAGGAGCACCCAATTATTTATTTGCAACGTAGAACAGTGTGGTTTGAAGGCTTAAGCTTCATGTCTGATTGGTCACACATTAGGAAAGTTCTTGATGGAGGGATGAGCAATCTCATGGATCATGTTACCTATCACCTAACATTTGTGTGCAGAAAACATGATACACTGCCTCAGTCAACTATGGTAGATAGTTAAAGATAAAATGCTCATTGATTTCAGTTCCTGATTTTAATGACTGTGACATTTGTCATTTTGCGAACCAGGCATAAAAGCATTACCATTTGACGATGATTTGATGTTGGAAAACGATAATTTGACAACCTAAATCCATACAATTCTTATAAACAACTCTTTTTTAATATTATAATAATAATTTTATTTTATTTTTATTTTTATTAAATCATTCTATAGATTATTATATTAATAAAAGTGAGATGTTTAAAAGGTTGTATGATTTCTAGTTGTCAAAATATCACCACTCTTTCATGTTAGTACTAGCAAAACGATCCAAATTCTCCTAGAATGATTAAGTTTAATAGTTTGATATACCAGATAACACAAATAATGATGAGAGGATCAAATTCTATATCAAATAATAACTCAACTATTTTCTTCATAGGAGTTTAGTGAACTTGAATTTATAATAGTTTTATCATTGTAAGTCTTCTTTCAACTCTATTCAAATATTTTTGTTTGTCATTAAAAATATATGTTTTTTTATAAAATAAGTAAAATTTTTAATATATTTGTCTAATTTTAATTTATTTATTTTAAAATTTATTATTAGTTGAACACTTCAAAAAATAAATCTGATATTCTTTTTAAAGAAATGCATTTTAAAAATTATTTATTTCAAAATCGCTGGTTTTAAATTTAAGTTTAAATTAACATTTTCTAAATTTATTTTGTTTAATATTATACAAATTAATAAAAATATAATCTTTTATAATTTATATTAAAAATTTTAATATTTTTCAAAATACTCTTGTCTTTTTATCATTTACGATTATTTACAATAATTTATATTTTTTATAATTTTTCAAAATAAAAAAGAACTTAAAAATATGAAACATTTATTTTTCGTTTAAGTAAATCTATAAGTCACTTTATAAATTTTAATCTTAAAATTTTTTCACATTTTGAAAAGTATGGAAAGATTTCTTCTCACAACACAATTATATATATATATATATATATATATATATATATATATAAATAAATCTTAACTTTCAAAAAATACTTTCTAAAAAAAGATTTTTATGACAATAGATTTTTCATAATATGATATAAAATAATTGTAATTTTATTTAATTATTTTTTAATTAAAATATTTATATATTTAAAATAATAAATTATGATAGAATATTTTACCAGATAGACCTGCATTATTCAATAATTGATTGATGTAATATAATAACAATGTAATAGTTCCTTTTTAAAAATTTCGGTCTTATGCTCTACTCACCGTATTGTGTGACCTGAAGAGAAATAGGAAAACGTGAATGAAACTCTAATACACCTCAATTCTTCTATTAATTTTTGTGTCATCGTCCTTTGTTACATTGTTGTTAAAGTAAGCGTAAAAAGATTTTGATACGCAAAATGCAATGCATTCACTAACACATATCAACGCTGAGGAGATCTCACACGACAAGAAGTTTGAAATGAGAAAAGATACACCATTTCAAATAACGAAGAATGATATATCAATAAGAACTTATTCTAGGTCAAGAATTTGAAAATCGATGATATATATATATATATATATATATATATATATATATATATATATATATATATATATATATTTTTATACATCGATTA